GTGAGAGGCCCTCCCTGGGAGCACCAGTGAGGAAGAGTGGTGTATGTCCTGCCGCCTGCCTCTCCAAAGAGCTCTGGAGAAGAGACCCATGTAATACTCCTCTGTAGCGACAGATAATTCGCCTCCGTGCCTGTAACAGTGACCACGCCTTTGGGGCGTGGTTACAGGTGCGGATGTGACCGGCTAAAGTTAAAGGTTCGGGGATTTGGGAGGCCCTTCCGGTCGGGTCGCAGAGAGCATCAGGGTGCCAGGGTCTGCATCCTTGGAGCGGAAGCGCCGTGACAGTCACTTGTTTCCTGTGTAAGCTCTTTTCCCCAAATAAACTCTATTTATACTGGGTCTAGTGAATCCCGATTTCCACACCTTCACCCCTCCAGTCTAGGACCCGGCCTGGCAGAGCAGGCTGGTCCTCTAGACCCCCAACTGGACCCGGGTTTGCCAAACCCAACAACCCACTGGGCCATCCTGAGGCTGTCACACATGCTAGCCCCAAGAGATTTTTAAATCGGATGGCATAGTGACAGCTAGAAGCTAGAATCGAGACCTGCTTGCCTCTCATTTTCAAACCACCGGAGCTTGAGCAGACAGTATGGCCAGAATCTTAACTTCTTGTTGGGGGTGGGGTGTAGAAAGAGGTTGCAGAGAATAGGCAGGCAGATAGATGCTGAAGGCCTCTTCCAGGGACCGATTTTCCTGTCTTCTGTCATCTCTTTCATCTGTTCTCGAGATGAAAGGGAATCGGGAAGATCAGAGAGGTTCAACTATCCCAATTACAGTGTTTCTGATACGCGGGAGTTTGCTGTACTTGGAGAAGAAGCCTCCAGTGCCGTGGTGAGGGACACCGAGGAAGTCTAGTGTGATCCAAGAGTTCCGGGGCCGGCAAATAGTGTGTAAGGTCCTTAGCCAAGGCTGCTGGGCCTCTCCGGGGAGCGAGGTGAGAAGGCCAGTGAGCTGGATTGAGGAAGCAGCACCCACCAATCACAAGGTGGGGGACACTGGCCCTCAGCGGCTGGGGCATGCCGACGCCTCGGCCACCTTCTACGGCGGAATTCCAGCCAGATGAGCCATGTAGTATGCTGTCTATAATCCCCGTGGGACCAATGACAGATGGGCTGTTAGGTTATCCAGCATCCCAGGACAGATGACAAATGGGCGGCAAATACAGCAGCAATTCCCTTAATAACTCACACTGTGGTAAAGGGATTTAATAGAATTGAAGATGTGAACTTAAAACGACATAGAAGACAAATCCCAGGAACATACGTCTTTGGGACAGAAAGTTGATTCCATGAGAACATAGTGCCGTTATCATTCTTATTAGCTCATGTTTATTAAGCACTTTTCAGGCTGTCTGTGATGACGAGCGGTTGAGCAGAAACCACGAAAGAACGCCGCTTGCTGGCTCACTCCCTCAGGCAGGCTCATGCTTAGCTAGCTTTCTTGCATAGCCCAGGCCTGCCTGCCCTGGAATGATGCTGCCCACGATGGGCTTGCATCATTTAATCAAGACAGTCCCTGGCAGATGTACCCAGAGGCCGGTCTAACCCAGGCAACTTCTCAGTTGAGGCTCCCTTCCCAGATGACACTAGACTGTGTCATGTTGACAGAGATAGCGAGGACAGGAAAAGAATCCCTGACTTGACTACCAGGTGAGACACGCCCTGCTTCTTGGTCTGACCTGTATGAAACCAGTCCTCATTTGCATAGATCTGCTGGCCTGCTCACGATGCTGTCAAGCCACACGTATAAAAGCTGTCAAACGCCCTTGAAGATAACAGCCACTAGAACGTCATCGCTTTGCAGTAGGGAGAGTCGGGGATGGCTGGATGGGAATCTGTACAGTGCTTGCCTAACACACGTGCAATCTTGGTTCAGTCTCCAGCACCGTATAAACTGGGCTTGGTGGTGGCACACACCAGGAATCTCAGTGTAGCACGATAAGTAAAAGACCCAGAGACTGGCATTGGGGTTCAAGCTTCCAGCTGAAGATCAGAGAAACAAGGCAGCCGGCCACTAGCTCTCACCTCTACCTAAGCTCAGACCAAAGGGGCGATCCTCACACTGCTCTGGACTTCACTGCTCCTCAGACTCACTCAGACTGCTGTGCTCTGCTCAGCGTGGCTCGAGACTTCACTGTCTTCCTATCCTCGGTGTGGCTGGAGAGTGAAGAACCCTAGCTCTCGAGACCCTGTTCCTGTCTTAAATACCTCTCGTGAATCCTGGGATTAATGGTGCGTGATCCTTAGTGCTGAGGTCATCTTTGTGTGAGCTGTCTCTCTTTAGGACTGGATGTATTTCTTGTAGCTCAGTGTGGCCTTGAACTAACAGAGATCCGTCTACCTATGCCTCCCAAGAGGTGAGATTAAAGGTGTGTGCCAGCACTGCCTGGCTTCTGTAGCTTGTGGCCGACTTTGCTTTCTTGATCCCGAGGCAAGCTTTAATAAATCGTAAATAATGTATCGCCACATCTCAGCACTAAGGATGTGGAGGCAAGAGGACCAGAAGTTCAAAGTCGTCTTTGATTTTTAGCAAATTTGAGGTCAGTAGGACGATGGGGATGCCTTGGCTAATTCTTGCTTAGAATGCCGAAGTTGAGTAGTAGGTGTTGGTCCAGATGAAACCCAGTTCTCTTCTGCCCCCACATTCTGTTCACACTCAGAGGCTGTGTAGTTGAGTCTGACTTGGCTGTAGGGTGTAGTTTGGGAGTTCTGGGAATTTAGAGAGATGAATGAATGAATGAATGAATGACTGCAGAGGAAATAGCTCATGAATACAAAGGAAGGAACTTGTTATTTGCAAAGTGGGAGCTGATCCAGCCGCATTAAATTATCTCCAAGCACATGTATCCACACCGGGAACAGTAAGTGCGATTCTGTTTACCCGAATCCCCCTCTTCCCAGGGCATTAAGAAACCAGCTCTTCTCTTGGGAGTCAGTCCTTAGGGTGTTCACACCAGGAGTTCACCCAAGTTCCCAACAGGTGGTGAAGAGGACCCTAAATACTTTACAAGTGGCTGCTGGAACGCCTCGGGGACCCTCATTCCTTTAGTTTGCTCCAGCATAATAATACTTTAACATATTGCCAGGTGACTCTGTTTCCCTAGACAGGACGTCTCTGACTGCAGTATTTCACAAATAAAGAGTGCTTGGCCATATTTTTTAAAAAAATTCTCCTTCTGTGCAGAAATTCTCCTTCTGTGCAGACACATGCCAAAGACTAGTATAACGAGAAAGGGTTTGCATTCTCAGCCACTTAGTAGGTACGATTTTAAAGCAGCCAGCACCAGAGGCAGATCCATGTTCTGTCTTCTGTCCTGAGAAAAGCTCCGTGACACACAGAGGTCAGAGGTGCACACGCCTGTCAGTTCTCAGCTCTGTGGCAGGCGTCCCTGTGACCATTGCTGTGTGCCCTAGAGGATCCGAGAAGGCCAGCTGGCTCTGCTTGGAAGAATTTGTGGGAATCCGCTTCCCCCCCATGGTCCGAGGACTGAGGTCCTGTTTCCTTGCTGGCTAGTGTGGTGCAGAGGTGCTCTTAGCACATGGCCTCTTCCTCCTTCAAATGTTAGAAATGTGTGTGTGTGTGTGTGTGTGTGTGTGTTTTCCTGCACCTGTGTCAGTTCAGTGCCCTGGAGTTACACACGGTTGTGAGCTGCCATGTGGTTGCTGGGAATCAAACCTGGGTCCTCTGGAAGACCAGCCACTGCTCTTAACGGCTGAGCCATCCCTGCAGCCCTGGCCCCTCCCTCTTCCCAGGAGCCATGGGCACTGAGTCTCTCAAGCTGCTTGTCTGCTGCTGGTGGTGACCAAGGAAAACCGAGCTCCCGGGGTTCGCTATCGTCCCCCACTTCCGCCCCCACCCCACACTCCTTCTTATTCTTGAGACAGGTTTTACTGATAGCTCCCCCACCCCACACCTCCTTCTTATTCTTGAGACAGGTTTTACTGATAGCTCCCCCACCCCACACCTCCTTCTTATTCTTGAGACAGGTTTTACTGATAGCTCTGGGTAGTCCCGATACTTGTTATGGGATCCTGGATGGCCCTGAACTCCTGCCAGTTCCAAAAAGCATCCCTTCTACTCCTTGACACTCAGGCTGACCTTGCCTCCCTGCTCCCAGAGCTGGGTCAGAAAAATAATCTGGCTACCTCCATGTCACAAGAGCAACTGATATGGATATTATATGAAAAAACATATGAAAGGAAATCAATCTCTCTCTCTCTCTCTCTCTCTCTCTCTCTCTCTCTCTCTCTCTCCCTAGATTAGTGCCCAGCTGAATAATGAGGTAGAAGAGAATCTTGAAGGACCATTTTTTATAATTCTGCAGTCCCCGTTCCATAACACAACTAATCCGATCGGGACGGTTTCTTGACAGCTGTGATGGTTACGGCTACAGTAACTTTGAGCGCCACCCAGGGAGACAAGAAAAGAAACCCACAAATGCTCTTCCTGGCTGGAGCTCTAAGGCAGTCAGCTTTGACGGCTCCAGCTTTGCTCAGGTGACCCCAGCCTTGGAACGGCACCCGGGACAGCAAAGCGGTGCTCGTCAGGTATAGCGCCTGCTGAATAAACGGTGTGCAGCTCCAACTCCAGCCTGCCGGTCAATTTTGTTGGTGCTTTTGGATCAGGGTCCCCCCCCCCACTGTGTAGCCCAAACTCACAATCCTCCTGCCTCAGACTCCTGAGGTCTGGAATTACAGGGCTTTATCACCATGCCGGTCTAGTTAACTCTTTATTGGCTGCTGCACACAGTGTTCTCAGGCTGAGCACAGTGAGGAGTATGGGGGAACTCCCAACCTCCGTGTTCCTTGCCATGGCTGGTTTTATGTCAGCCCAGCTGGATTGTGGCATGTGGCATCCATTGGTAAGTACTAGCCTAGATGGGGGAGTGAGGGGTTTCAACAGGTGAGATTTGAATGAAGCAAATTGGCAGTGAGGGTGGTAGACCTTGTTCAGTCAGGTGAAGGCCCTCAAAGAAAAACCTGAAGCCTCTGGGGGAGGAAGGAAGGCAGCATTGAGAGAGGCCTCACACTCAGGACTCCAGCAGCAGCTGCCTGGGTCTCCAGACCTACTCCTTCCCTTCCCTGTCCTCTTAAAAAGAAGCCAAACAGATAAAGATCTCGATTACAATCGGAGGGTCAGACCGGCTAGTCTGTAGTCTGTAGCCGTGTGATCTCACAGGAACGGGAGCGGGAAGATTTCAAGTTCAAGACTGGGTTGGGCAAAAAAGTGAGACCCTGTCTCAAAATAAAGGCAAATGGGTCTGTAGCCCAGGGTTGGAGCGTTTGCCTGGCGTGCAGGAGAACCCTGGCTTCCACCCCCAAGTCCTGAAAATGAAAGTCAAGCGCAGGCTGGACTTCAGCTGCTACAGTGCCGGTTTCAAGGTAAGCTTGTCCCTGAGAGGTGGTCCTCAGACTCAGAGTCCCAGACACAGTCCTCCAGCCCCACAGCTCCACCCAGGGGGGAAAAAAACCAACCCATCTTTTCAGTCTTACTTCCATGCATGTTTGTGTTAAACTGGTGTGGACAGGTATAACTAATTGCCCGCAGTTCTAACACCGGGACGGTGTTGTTTGGAGCTGTGACAGGAGGAGTCCCTGTGTCTCAGGCTGTCCAGGGTAAGGCATTCCAACAGAGCAACCTCTTCCTCGTCAGCTCCTTGGTCTCCCTGACTGGCTAACCCACCCGAAGTCTGGACCAGATGACGCTTCCTGGAAAGTTGCCTGGCCTCCTACCTGTTCGTGTGTGGGTGTTTGGCACAAAAAAGCATTCGCATTAGGAGGCTTGGAGTTCAGCACTGTCAATCATCTTATGCTGTCCTAAGCCGACTGTTAACATTTGCAAGGCAAGGTAAATTCTTCCAGCAAACACTTGTCAAAATCCACAATGTTTGTGGCATAGCACAGGCAAAAAAGTATGTATGCATCTGGGCAGGGTGGCTCCTGCCTCTAATCCCAGCACACATCGGGGAAGGATTTCTCACCACAAGCTCTAGGCTCTTCTGGACTACCTAGCGACCTCTGGGGACATGGTCTACAGAGTAAGAATGCCTCCGACAAAGTGTAATCAAAATGAAACAAATAACCACGCCTGCCTCGTGACTTCATAAAACCTTTGCTGCATCAATGCTATGCGAGAGTTACAAAAGCCGAGGCGACAGAGACATCTCTGACAGTCCGGCGAGGACAGAGAAGGCCCTTGTGGACAGGGACGGGACATGGAAAAGATGAAATTCAATGCAAACTGAAACAGAAGCAAAACCTTCCGATTTCAACCTTATCATAAAAATATTTGGAGTAGCTTTTAATTTTTACTTGCTTTGTCCGTGTTAGTTGTGTGTGTGTGGGGGGGATGCACTCATATGGAAGCCAGATTTCAACTTCTGGGGCGTTTTCCTCTATCTCAATGCCTGCCTCCCCACTGAGCCACAGCCGGTTAGGAACCTGCGGCTGGCTAAGTGCCTAGCTCTCCCCTTAGCACATTGCCTGTTGGTGCACCCGTAGGGCTCAGACTGACAAGCAGGGATGAGAATATTGCAAACTGGGTCATACCAGAATCTTCAACGTGGAAAGGGTGCTTCACGGGATCGATCAGGACTTGCTGTTTCTAAGACTGTCATCCAAGGTCACAGAAGTGCTGCCTCACTGACTCATCCCTATGAATTTCAGCTCGAAATGGCTTGGTCCCCTGTAATAAGCCATGGAACTAGGAGGGTGGCTGGCTGTGCGATTGTGAGCACTGGGTGTGAGCGCTGGGAGTCTTCGGAGCCCAGGTAAAAGCCGGATGGGGGCGGTAGCCTACCTGTAATCTCAGTGAGGCAGAGACAGAATCCCTGGGGCAAACTGGCTAGCCAAAAACGGTGAGCTCTGTCCAGCTGTTGACTGCAGGTTTTGCAGAGGACCTGCTGCTGTCTCAAAGCTTGTCTACTCTGTATTTCCCTTTGCTTCAGAGTGAAAAATCCTTTGCTACTCTGCTGTTAGTGTGTCCTCCGGATCTTTGAACAAGAAGCCAAGACCGTGGAAACACCTGGTCCAGGCAGAAGTCAATCTATTGTACAGCCATCGGGGTCTGCATGTTTCAAAGGCTTCTTGGTCTGTGTAGCCAGACCGACTGCCACCATAGCTCACAGCAAAGGGCTTTAACCTGCGCCGCTGCCGCTGTCTGCCGCCCGTCTCCTGGCTGCCTGTCTTCCACGTGGAAATAATCTCGGCCCACTTAACCGAGCAGCTACTGCAAACTGCACAGGCTGCTGAGTTGCATGGGAATCCCTCTTTCAAAACATTATGAGGCAAGATATCAACCCCATGTTGCAAATGAGGGAAGCGAAACCCAGCAAAAAGAGATGCTCACTGAATTTATACACCCAGTAAGCAGGAAAACAAAAACAAAAAAACAAAATGTATCCCTAGTGATTTCAAAACCCGTGTCCCCATCGCGCGACATCTCTGCTCCAGCCTACCTGCCCTCCTAGGCGTGGCTGTTTCTTGTTATTAAGCCACTGTGTATTGATGTCAGAGCCACCCCCTGTACCCTGTGGTGTGAGACTTGGGGTCGTGCAAGTCTGACTCTGTATTGCCGGCTGGCTCTCGGTGGAGCGATGTTGCTAGGGGCGTGTTGGGAAAGAGGCTTCCTGTTTGCTTCGATCTCCTGTTGAGCTCCACTCCGGGTGCCGCCGTGGCTCCTGCCATGCTTGGAGATGTTTTGCCCCCACGCAGCCAGCTGATGACCCTTTCAGAGGTCTGGGTTCCAGACCCTCCTAGCCCCTCCTCACAAACTGCTTGTGTCTAAGCTTTGCTTCTCAGAACTGCCCTTCTCTTCCGAGATAATCCCAATCTCTTCCTTCCGTGGTACCCCTGCCTGAATGTGCGAGGGCCAGCCCTCACCCGCGTTTTGGGCTGAGAGAGCTAAGAGACCCACACAGCAGCAGTGCGTCACTGGGGGTGTGCCCTTGAAAGTGAGGCGCATTCCCAGCTCCTTCCTCTCCACACCACCGCCGCTCGCCTGCTTGTTCTTCAAACAGTGAGCTTCCTCTCACTGACACGCATCTCTGCTTCACCATGCTCCCAGAATCCCCAGGAGCCAGAACACGGTGTGTGAAATCTCTGAAGCCTTGCGCCAGAGTACACCCCCCCTCTTTTAGGTTACCTGTGTGAACGTTCTGTCACAACAGACTTCCCAAGCTCCCCCCTGGGAGCAGTAGAGGCATCGGTGGCTGTGTCTTTGCGGGTCACTTTCTCCCCAGAGTCCCCTTAGTCAGATTTTGACGGGTGGCTGGCTTCTTGGTCTCCTCAAGACATCTTCACCATGAGCAAAAATATTTCTTCTTTCCTCTGGGGGCAGAGCATTAATAAGTATTAGGGTTTTTTTTTCTTCTAAAAACATTTCCCCTTCTGATGTCATTGACATGTTTTTCCCCCTGTGCTGTAGAAATCATCTTATTACCAATTTAAAAAATAAGCTTTGCTGAAATATAATTCCCAACGATAAAGTTCACCAATGTGATGGTATCTTATCCTGCTCTGAGGTGCTGTTACAGAACGACACAAGCTTTTCTGGGGACTGGGAAGTCCACCGTTGAGGGCTTGCTTTTAGTAAGGGCTTTCTTGTACCATCCCACGGCAGAAGGTTGAAGGGCATAGAGGCACACATGTGTATTTGAGAGAGAGAGAGAGAGAGAGAGAGAGAGAGAGAGAGAGAGAGAGAGAGAGAGAGAGAGAGAGAGAGAGAGTGAGAGAGCTGAGCTCACTTTTGTAATAAACTCATTCTAGAACAAAGAATCCAGTTGCACAGGACACAGCTAATGCACTCAGGGGAGTCGAGCCCTCAGGACACAGCTGTCCAGCATTTAGTTGTCCCATCAACCAATATTGTTCCATTGGGGTGGCCTTGCATTCTGTAAGACAGCAGGCTGAGCAAGCCATGGGAGCAGGCCAGTGAGCAGCGTCCTCCGTGGCTCTGCTCTGACTTCCTACAGGGATGGGCTATGATTGGCATGTGTAAGTGAAATAAACCCCTTCCTCCTCCAGATGCTTTTGGCTAGCATTTTGTCATAGCAACAGAGAAGCCAGATAGGACATAGGTCTATGGTTTTCTTTCCTCAAGCCACTTTCTCTAGTGTGATGTGCATGTGTGTGCGTGTATATTGTGTGGTATTTGTATGTGGTGTGTGTGTTGTGTGTGGTGTGTGCGGGGTATGTGTGTGGTGTGTGCATGTGTGGTGTGTGTATGTGTGTGTTGTGTGTGTATGTGTGTGGTGGGGTATGTGTGGGGTATGTGTATTGTGTAATGTGTGTGCGTTGTGTGTTGTGTGTAGGGGTGACATGTGTGGGGTGTGTGTACATGTGTGGTGTGTGTGTGTGGCATGTGTGGGGTATATGTGTTGTGTAATGTGTGTGCATTGTGTGCTGTGTGTGTGTTGTGTGTAGGGGTAGCTGTGTGGTGTGTGCATGTGTGGTATGTGTGTGGTGTGTGTGTGGTATGTGTATGTGTGTGCATGTGTGCCACAGCACACATATGGTGGTCAGAGGACAACTCTGAGGAGTTGGCTCTGTCCTTCCAACCGTCTAGGCTCCTGGAATCAAACTCAGGGCAGCAGATTTGCCAGCAAGTACATCCCCTGCTGAGCCATCTCACTGGCCCATATCTTGATTTTATGTCTTATCTTTGACTATTTTGTTACCCATTTACATTTACTATTATCCACTTATTTAATAGTATGAGTATATGTATACTTTATTATAGCTAACTACACATATTATGTATCATATGGAAACAAATGTGACTAACAGTTTGGTTTGATCTGTGATGGGATATATGGACAATATGCCTGGATCCATGTCATTTTAGCTTTGACTTTGTGTGTCACGTGACCGTTCTGACTCCTTACTCTTTCTGTCCTGGTTCCTTTGCAAGGATATTCTCTAAGGAACATATTTCTTAATGATATTTTGATATTTTCTTTCTAGTTATCATTACACTTCTCATCTACCTGTTTTCTGTTCAGTGGTTGCTCTCCTGCTCATCATACTCTCCATGATCATCTTCATATTTGTAGTAACAATTCCAATGAGATGGAAAGTTTATTCCTATATTGTTTTATTACATGTCCAGCAATATGTTACTATATATAATTTATGTCTATAGAACCTGAGAATAATAGCATGTAAGGATAAATGTAGAGGGACTGGAGAGATGGCTCAGAGGCTGAGGACTCTTGCTGTTCTACTAGAGACCCTGGGTTTGGTTCCCAGCATCTGTGTCAGGCAGCTCATAACCACCTGTAACTCCAGTTCCCTGGAATGTGGTGCCCTCTTCAGGCCTCTGGGTGCACTGCATGCATGTAGTGTTCTTATAGACAAGCCAATGCACACCCAGTCCCATAAAA